AACTTAGAAATCATTTCTAACACTCTAGTATTAATTATTTTTAACTCTCAAGTTTTAGATTAGTAGCTTAAAATCCTAATTTTTGATGTTTTATCATTTTTATTCAGTTGTGTGTCCTTTAATTCAAAGCAAGATCATTCGAACCAAATTATTTTTCCTAACATTATTTTAATTAGTACTACACTTGAAATAGATATTCTAATCAATTCCAAACCCACACATTTTATTTTAATTACATCTTACCCCCAAATCATTCTTTATACATATAAAAGCACACCTCTAATATTATAACCCTTTTTCAAAATATCTACAATATGTATATATATATATATATATAAATGAGAAAAGACCCTCAAATCTATATCACATGGCTAGCCACCCTAGCATATAACTTTTGGAAACAACATTGCATGATTCATGGAGGAAAATTTGACCTTGGTACCATAATTCAAGGAAAGTTGTCTTGTACTTGTAACTATCGTGGTTCTATCTTAGCCTAATCCTAACTAGATAATGCCTTAATACATGATTAGGCTCCGTAATGATCACTCATTCCATTACATTTCAACTAAATACATCTCAATTCCATTCCATTCCAACCAATGGGCATTTTGGACCTTTTACACCAATTTTATTATAAAGTGGGTGTTTGGGAAGTGGCTTTTTTTTAGGCTTTTTGGCTATTTTAGTAGGCTATTCTAGTTTTTGTGTTTGGGAAGTTGGGTTAAATTTTTGGGTTAATTATTGCATTGAAAAATGTGTTTGAAATGATGTTTAAGGTTGAAATGACAAATTTGCCCCTAACCTTATTTTTTCTAAAATTGATCTATAGGGGTAAACTTGTCATTTAACTGTCTGAAGCCTACACTATGTTGGTGACAATGTAGGCTGCTGTGTTGCTGGACAACTGCTGCTTTTCCATATATTTTTTTTTAAAATCAATGGGTTAGGTGGGGCACACTACAAAAAAAGTGGGCTTAAAAGACGGAAGCATTTGCGACGGCACAACTTGCTATCACGAAAAATGTGAGTTTTTGCGACGACACAACTTGCTATCTCGAAAAATATGAGTTTTGCGACGGCACAATTTGCTGTCGAGAAAAAATAGAGTATTTGCGACAACAGAAAATGCTGTCGCGAAAAATAAGAGTATTTACGACGGAAAATATTGTTGTCGCAAAAAAATAGAATTTTTGCAACAGCACCAGCTGTAGTTGCAAAAAAAAAAGTGAGCTTTTTGCGACTATAATAGGCATCGTTGCAAAAAAAAAAAAGTACAAAAAAAAATATTATGGCTTTGAGACGACTTCATATATATACAGTCATAGAATGGTTTGAATAAATGCAACGGTATTTTTCTGTCCCAAAAAAAAATTAAAAAAAAAACGACGTCATCTTACTCCTGTGATAAAACATTTCTATTTTCACCTATTTTTTCATCATTTTGTCTCTCTGTCTCTATTTCTCTATCTCTGTCTCTCTCTCTCTCTACTTTTTCTCTCTTTTACTCATCACTTTTCTCTATCTGTCTGTCTTTCTCACTCTCTCTCTCTCTTCTCTTTCTCTCTCTCTCACTCATCACTCTTCTCTATCTGTCTGTCTATCTCACTTTCTCTCTCTCTCTCTCTCTGTATGTCTCTCACGCTCATCTCTCTTCTCTCTATCTCTCGTATCGCTCTTCTCTTTCTGTCTCTCTCATTCATCTCTCTTCTCTCTATCTCTTTCGCTCATCTCTCTTCTTTCTATCTCTCTGTCTGTCTCACTCGTCTCTCTTCTCTCTATCTCTCTCGCTCATCTCTCTTCTCTCTCTGTCTCTCTCTTTTCTATATCTCTTTATCGTTTATCTCTTTTCGCTATCTTTCTCTCTCTTTTTGTCTATCTCTCGCTCATCTCTTGTTTCTCTCTTTTTTTCTATCTCTCTCTCTCTCTTTATCTCTATCTCTTTCTGTCTCTATCTCTGTCTCTGTATCTCTCTCACACTCATCACTCTTCTCTCTCTCTCTCTCTCTTTCTATCTGTCTCTCTCTTTCTCTCTCTCTCCCCCACTATGCTCGCCTTGCTCACTCTCTCCTTCCATTATTCTCTATGTACCGAGCTCCCTCTCGATTATCAATTCACTACAAAAAAATGCACTTTTAGTGACCACTTTGTCTCTCTCGCTCATGACTCTGTCTCTGTCTCTCTATCTCTCTTCTCTATCTGTCTCTCACTCATCTCTCTCTCTCTTTCTCGCCACCCATCTCCTCTACTATCTTCACCACTACTGCAAATGCCATTCCACTACAACCACTACTACTATTGTTGCCACTCCATTTCTACGACTACCATTACTACCACCATCGCCACCACTCACCACTACTACTGCCACTATTACTACCATTACCTCTCCTCTACCACCGACACTCCATCTCATCTACCACTACCACAACTTCACTAATAATCTCATTTGCCATCACCACCACAATTACCACCATCACTTCTTATCCACCACCTTCACCACTACTGTCGCTCCCTCTTTACTACCACAAAAAATTAGTTCTTGATTTTTAGTAACAAAAAAAAAAATAGGCCACGGAAAAATATTTTTCATTAACCACAAAAAAATTAACTTTATTTTGATGGAAAATATTTTTCATTAAAATATTACTCGTACTTCTATCGAATAAAAAAAATAATTTTTTTTCATTAAAATAAAAAATGAAACAAATAAATTTTCAACCTTAGTAACTAAAAAAAATTTGAAAAAAAAAAAAACTCACAAACATTTTTTTTTTAGACGGGAAAGATTTGCCATTGCAGAAAGTAATGAAAATTTTCTATCCCGCTCCTTTTGGCCCATTCGCGCTCGTTTTCCCTAAAATGCCTAAAACCTTTTTGAAGCAAAATCCCCAAAACCCTTGAAGCAAAATTTCACCAGCATCTTACGATCTCTCTGTCACGACTGTGACGACGGTGAATGGTTAATGCCGAGCAGCGAGCAATGATGGCTTGCAGCAGTCAGTATCAATCGTGCCTTTCTCACTCACTCAGTGAGTGAGGACGCCTGTATGCCCTCTCCTTCTCACTCTCTCTCTCTCTCTCTCTCTCTCTCTCTACATTTCTTCAAATTTCTCTCTGAATCCCAATCTTGAGCTTAAAAATGGCGAGAGAGAATGAATTCACAACTCTCGAGCTCATTAAACAATACCTTTTTGACGAGCTCTCTCATATTAGGAGATCTATCACGGATCTTAACAACACCAGCTCGATTTTCACGTCATTTGATTGTAGAAGTAGTGTCAAAACTGAGATTATGACTTCTCAATCTGATTCTCTCTTTTCACAAACCTCGAATTGTGAATCTTCAAATGTAAAGAAGGAAACAGAGTAACTAGTAAGAAGAACAACTTTGTCGTTTCTAACATGTAAGTTCTATGTTGTTGCAAACATTTTTTTATTTTTTATTTTTAAAATTTTAATTTTAATTTCATGAACTACACTGACTTCATCTGCTACAAATCAATGCTCAAACAACAATTTTAGATATTCTTCTCACAAACACACAATTTTAGATGCTTTTGTAAATTTGGAATTTGAATATGGGTAATAATCATTTCAAGGGGTTGTTAGAAAATTTTAGATATTTTTCTGATTTGTAATTTTCAACTTTTTCCTAAGGCGCAGTTTCAATCTCATTCTTTTACAATTAACCTTTTTTCTTTGTGCACTAGGTACATCTTTTTTTTTTCTTCCCCTCTTTATGTTTTTGTGGGTTATTTTGGAGTTCATAACCAAGTATATGTTTAATTTTCACAGAATTTATGAATTCATTAAACTTCAGCAGATTAGGCCACAGTTTGCCAAAATTCAAGATCAAGGAGTTGTAACTAATAATCAAGTCTAACGCCTAAAAGCGTTGAAGACCGAGGAGATTTTAAAAATGCTAAATTTTAGCAAGGCAAGAACTCAGCCACAATCAACAAGGGCTATGTCTTTAGGAGGTAAGATTTCCTTTCATTTTATTAATCTATTAACATTTGAAATTTTCTTCTCTGTTTAGATTATACATGTCATGTTTTTTAACCTCAAGAGTTTGAATCTATTAAATCTATGGCTTAAAAGTTAAAAAGTATAGTTTGTTCTCTTCAAAGTGTAGATGTTTTTGTTGGACAGGTCAATGAGAATAGTTGTCAGCTAACTACACATTGGTCTCGAGTTCTTTGATATATATACAAACATAGATATGCAGAAATGTAATTGTGTTTTTATTACCTTGGCAGTTAGTTTTAAAATAATCTTCTTATTTGATGGGGGTTTGTAGCTCATTTTGACCTTTACTGCTTGTAGGGATAGATTATGTAGATCCGAAGAAGAGGAGCAATTTTGTAAGAAAAATTCTTTTGGCTGGTGCCCTTACAACAATATGTATTCTTATGCTCAAACAATCCTCAAGATTTAACAGCCCAAGCCCAGTAACATCTTTATCCCTCTATTTCTATCATTGTATCTTCATTTGTTTCCCTTCTAAAGCTGTTTTTGAATCAAGGATCTTAAGAGATTTGTGAAGGGAAAGGGAAACGAAAGGGAACAGCGAATGAAACAGAAGCTAAATTTTGTTCACTTTTTCCTCCACAAATGCCCACTAAAATTCTTGTTCCCAACATAGCCTAAAGATTTCTCAAGACAAGCTCAAAATACTGTGTCTCTCCAATTTTTGTCTCAATGAATTGAATCAAATTGACCTTTCTTTTCTGTCATTTCATATTTAATACTTTCTTAAAATTTTCCCTTTCCAATTCTCCTATCACGAAATATGAGTTACTCATGTCTTAGTAACTAAAGGTGCTGGATATATTGGTTCACATGCTACACTCCAACTTGTCAAGGACTTGTATCGTGTAACTATAGTGGTACATCTCTCTCTTTCAAAAATCTGTAATTATATATTTTTTTCTTAATTGTTTCAACTCGTGAATGCTACATGATTTAGATCTTCAATGAAAAGGATTCTCATGTAACAGGACAATCTATCTTGGGGAAACCTAGGCGCTGTCAAGGTTCTACAAGAACTATTTCCAAAACATGGGAGGCTTCAGTTTATTTATGATGACTTAAGGAATACAAAGTGGTATTGTAATCACACTTTTTCAATGATATATATGTTTTCTTATTTATTGATCCATAAGCCATTTAACATGAATTCTATATCTTGCTTCCTTAAATCAATGTTTCAGGTGAATAAAATATTTTCAGAAAATGCATTTGATGTTGTGATGCATTTTGCACTTGTTGCATATGTTGGAGAAATCACCATTGATCCTCTGAAGTAAGTGTTTGATCTATTTCAAAAAATATTAGTTGAACTTGCATAAGCTTTTGCCATACAACAATGTGGACACATTTACCATATTATGCATTATCAGTCATACCAGGGGGATTTAAGGAGGTTGTAGTTGGTGGGAGGAGAAGGTAGATTTTTTCTTTGGTTGAAGCCTTGACATGTGACAAATGCCATCATGTGGGTGTCTTAATATGGATAAAGAGATAATATATGATGTGTTGATCAGTATTGCCCAAAACTTCATTACAGCTGACCCAAGGCTTCCTTTGGGAGTTAGCTAAAAATCTAGCTTGTTTGTCACATTCATAGCTTTGTATGGATTTTTTGATGGCTGTTAAGAGTGGACAAAGTGGGCTTTTTGGCGGGTAATAGGTTTGCTGAATGAGATAAACTTTTTTATTTTTGTAATAGTAAAAATGGTTTGTTTGGAATATCCCTACTTTTTTTGGCTTTTCTAATGGCTTTTAAGAGTGGCTAAACTGGGCTTTTCGTAGGAAATAGGTTTGCCAAATGAACTAAAGCTTTGTTATTTTAATAGCAAAATGGGCTGATGGCTTTTAAGCTATAGCCAAACGAAACCTAAGATTGAAATTCAAAGTATTGTGAGAGGAAGATATCATATCAGATGTGCCTTGCCTATGGGGAAAATGGATGTCCTTGACTTTTTAGACTTTAGTCTTGCAGTCTTTTATATGGTTATCCTATTCAGGATATTATCATGATCTGATTAGCTGATTATAGTCGATATTATAAGAATGAGTTGTTGGTTACTCAAGCGGCTCTTTTGTTTACTTTTTCCTCTTCTATTAATAAAAATTTCTTTCATTGATGTGTTCTGCTATGGTGCGTATGTCTATGTCCTCTATATCTTCACGTAGTTAATACAACTGTCTCCCCAAAACATATCCGTTTTCTTGCGTTTCCTGGTATGTATATATATATATATATATATTCTCTAGGGTTATTACTCATATCCAAATCAATGCTTTGTATCATGCTTCCAATATTTGTTAATTTCAATCCATTTCACATCTTTTCATCAAAAACATAGAATTCGAGGTGTTGACACCCCAAAATCACCAAACGGTGTCGGATTAGCATGAAACTTGGCACACACGACTGCCTAGGCACGACAGACTTGTGGGAGAAGACAAGACTCGAATCAGGTTCTCGATTTGGGAGTTGGAGCCAAATTTCACTATAGAAAAACTAGTTTCTTAAAAAACTTAGAATTCAAGGTGTTAATGCCCCCAAATCATCAAACAGCATTGGAGTAGCACAAAACTTGGCACACATGACCATCTAGGCACTAGAGACTTGTGAGAGAAGACGCGACTCGAATCAGGTTCCCAGTTTGGAAGTTGGAGCCGGATTTCACTCTAGGCAAACTAGTTTCTTAAAAAACTTAGAATTCAAGGTGTTAACGCCCCAAAATCACCAAACGGCTTTGGATTAGCACGAAAATTGGCAAACACGACCGCCTAGGCACAAGAGACTTGTGAGAGAAGATGAGACTCAAATCGGGTTCCTGGTTTGGGAGTTAGAGCCAGATTTCACTCTAGGCAAACTAGTTCATTAAGAAACTTGGAATTTGATGTGTTGATGCCCCAAAATCACCAAACAGCGTCGAATTAACCTGAAACTTGGCACATATGACCGCCTTGGTATGAGAGACTTGTGGGAGAAGACAGGACTCGAATCAGGTTCCCGGTTTGTGAGTTATAGCCGAATTTCAGTCTAGGCAAACTAGTTCCTTAAGAAACTTAGAATTTGAGATGTTGATGCCACAAAATTACCAAACGGCGTCGGATTAGCATGAAACTTGGCACACATGACCACCTAGGCATGAGAGACTTGTGGAGGAAGATGAGACTCGAATTGGATTCCCGGTTTAGGAGTTAGAGCCGAATTTCACTCTAGGCAAACTAGTTTCTTAAGAAATGTAGAATTCGAGGTGTTAACACCCCAAAATCATCAAACAGCGTCGGAGTAGCATGAAACTTGGCACACACGACCGCCTAGGCACGAGAGACTTTTGGGAGAAGACGAGACTCAAATCGGATTCCTAGTTTTGGAGTTAGAGCCGGATTTAAATTTGAGGTGTTAATGCCCCAAAATCACCAAACGGCATCGGAGTAGCACGAAACTTGGCACACACGACCGCCTAGGCACGAGAGACTTTTACGAGAAGACGGCACTCGAATCGGGTTCCCAGTTTGGGAGTTTGGGCCAGATTTCACTCTAGGCAAACTAGTTTCTTAAGAAACTTAGAATTCGAGATCTTAACGCCCCAAAATCACCAAACGGCATCGGAGTAGCACGGAGCATGGCACACACGACCGCCTAGGCACGAGAGACTTGTGCGAGAAGATGGAACTCAAATCGGATTCCCAGTTTGTTTCTTAAGAAACTTGGAATTTGAGGTGTTAATGCCCCAAAATCTCCAAACGGCGTCGGAGTAGCACGAAACTTGGCACACACGACCATCTAGGCCCGAGAGACTTGTGGGAGATGACGTGACTCGAATCGGATTCCCGGTTTGGGAAATTATAACCAGATTTCACTCTAGTAAAACTAGTTTCTTAAAAAACTTTGAATTTGAGATGTTAATACCCCAAAATCACCAAACGGCGTTGGAGTAGCACAAAACTTGGCACACACAACCGCTTAGGTGCGAGAGACTTGTGGGAGAAGACAGGACTCGAATCGGGTTCTCGGTTTGGGAGTTAGAGCCGGATTTCACTTTTAAGAAACAATCTAGTTTCTTAAGAAACTTAGAATTTGAGGTGTTAATGCCCCAAAATCACCAAATGGCGTCGGAGTAGCACAAAACTTGGCACACATGACCGCCTAGGCATGAGAGACTTGTGGGAGAAAATAGGACTTGAATCGGGTTCCTGGTTTAGGAGTTAGGGTCGGATTTCACTCTAGGCAAACTAGTTTCTTAAAAAACTTAGAATTCGAGGTGTTAATACCCCAAAATCACCAAATGGCGTCGGACCAGCACGAAAATTTGCACACACAACCGCCTAGGCACGAGAGACTTGTGGGAGAAGACAGGATTCGAATCGAATTCCCGGTTTGGGAGTTAGAGCTGGATTTCACTCTTAAGAAACAAACTAGTTTCTTAAGAAATTCAGAATTTGAGGTGTTAATGACGCAAAATCACCAAACAGTATCGGAGTAGCATGAAACTCGGCACACATAACCACCTAGGCACGAGAGACTTATGGAAGAAGACGGGACTCGAATCGAGTTCCCAGTTTGGGAGTTTGGGCCGAATTTCACTCTAGGCAAACTAGTTTCTTAAGAAACTTAGAATTCGAGGTGTTAGCATCTCAAAATCACCAAACGGCGTTGGAGTTGCACAAAACTTGGCACACACGACCGCCTAGGCACGAGAGACTTATGGGAGAAGATAGGACACAAATCAGGTTTGGGAGTTAGAGCCGGATTTCACTCTTAAGAAACAAACTAGTTTCTTAAGAAACTTAGAATTCGAGGTGTTAACGTCTTAAAATCACTAAGCGGCGTCGGAGTTGCACGAAACTTGGCACACACGACCGCCTAGGCACGAGAGACTTATGAAAGAAGACGGGACTCGAATCGGATTCTTGGTTTGGGAGTTAGAGCTGGATTTCACTCTAAACAAACTAGTTTCTTAAAAAACTTAGAATTCGAGGTGTTAACGCTCCAAAATCACCAAACAACGCCGAAGTAGCACGAAACTTGGCAATATACGGCCGCCTAGGCACGAGATACTTGTGGGAGAAGACGACACTCGAATCGGGTTCCCGGTTTTGGAGTTAGGGCCGAATTTCACTCTAAGCAAACTAGTTTTTTAAGAAACTTAGAATTCAAGGTGTTAATGCCCCAAAATCATCAAACGGCGTCGGAGTTGCACGAAACTTTGCACACATGACCGCCTAGGCACGAGAGACTTGTGGTAGAAGATGGGACTCGAATCGGATTCTCAGTTTGGGACTTACGGATTTCAATCTAGACAAACTAGTTTCTTAAGAAACTTAGAATTCGAGGTGTTAACGCCCCAAAATACCAAACGGCGTGAAGTGGCACGAACTTGGCACACACAACTACTCAGGCACGAGAGCCTTGTGGGAGAATACGGCACTCAAATCGAGTTCCCGATTTGGGAGTTAGAGCCGAATTTCGGTATAGGTAAAATTATTTACTTAATTATCTTTGTAATTCTATAGTAGTCAAATTTTTATGTTTTTTTTTTTTTTTTGTAATTAACATATTAACACATAATTATATTATCATTAATTATATTTATTTTTTGTTTTCAGATATTTCCCAAGTAGGAGTTCTTGTGGAATGTATGTCTGTGAAGAATGCGACTAATTTTTGTTTTTGTTACCCACGGAAAATGATGAGCAAAACTTGCAATTTTGGTTTATGTTATTTTGAATTATGAACAACATTATGTATTTAAACATTATATATGTATTAAGGAACATTATGTGGTGGGGTAATTTTGTTGATGTGTAGTTATGAATGCACGAATATTTTTATTATGGAGAAATTGTATCTTATATACAGGAATTTTTATATTATTATGCAATTATTGGTTTCTTTTTCAATTGTTTTTCATTTAATACAAGTAATTTTAAATTTTTTAATAATTTTATTGTAGGTTTTTTTTTTTGGCAACGGCACCACACCGACGCAAAAAACAGGTAATTTTAATATTTTGAATAATTATATTGCAGTTTTTTTTTTTTTTTTTTTTGGGTGACGGCACCACACCGTCGCAAAAAATATTAGACTATAGGCGACAGTGAGCATGCCGTTGAAAAAAACAAAACCATTCGCGACAGCATTTTTTGCAGTCTCAAATAAAACTTTTAGCGACGGTAAAACGGTGTCATCGCAAAAGGTCTAACTTTTTTACATATTATATGCGACAGTAAATTGCTGTCGCAAAAGGTAGCAATTGTCGTCGCTAAAAAAAGTTTTTGCAACGCTCTCTGTTTTTGCAACGCCTTCTGTTATGACCCCCCCATTTGTCGTCGCTAAAAATTTTTTGAGACAGCATTAAGAGTATTAGTGTCGTCGCAAAAAATCGAAATTTTTGTAGTAGTAATATGAGGCTAAAAGGCTTTTTTTGCAATTTGAGGCTAAAATAGCCTATCTAAATGGTTCCCAAACACCACCAAAAACACCACCACCCTCCATATGTTAAATTCAGGAAAAATCTAAAATAGCCCTTTTGATTTTAATCTTTAAATGGTTACTGAATCTGGAAATTTAGTTTTGCGTGGGTGTTTTATGCTCTTGTATACATAAATATGCTTATTAGTTTATGATCATGTCTTAGTATGATATTTCATGTGTTATGGTTATGTTCCTTATCTTCTTCATTTTAATGATGTTCATGCTTATGTGGATATTACTATCTTATTGAGTTTGTTCTAACTTGACTTAAAACATTGATCCAAACGGAAAACTTAATTGG